ACCAGACAGAGGTCTTTTTATATAAACAGAAGAAGTCTGAACTTCAGCCTCTTACATATTCTTAAATCAACCCAAAAAAAAAAAAAAAAAAAAAAAAAAAAAAAAAAATCTCAACTTGTTGCTCATTTCAGTTAAGACAAATAAGAATCCCCTTCACAGAGTGAATAAAAACAAGCAGTATACTAGAGAGGAGACTAGTTTTAACTCAGTTGATTTTTTTTTGTCCCAAAAAAGGACAAAGAGATTCCATTTACTGTATAATGGGCTGAAAGATGGCTGTCTGGAAAGCAGCTCCGCAGAAAAGAGCATGGGAGTTCTGGGGGACCTGATGTTAAACACGAGTCAGCAATGTACCCTTGTGGCAAAGAAGGTCAATGGCAACCTTGGCTGGAGCAGGAGCACCATCAGTGGTAGGTCGAGGGAGGTGATTACACCCCTCTATCCAGCACTCGTATGACCACGTTTTGAGTGCTGCATCCAATTCTAAGCTTTCCAGTATAAGATAGACATTGACATACTGGAAGGAGTCTACAGAGATGATTAAGGGATTGGAGCATCTGACTTATGAGGAGAGGCTGAGGAAGCTTCAGTTGTTTAGCCTCAAGAAAAGAAAGATCCGAAGGATTAGGAGAGATGAGGGTGGGGAGGAGTATAGTAAAAGAAGACTGAGCCAGACTTCTCTCTGTTGCATCCCATAGAAGAAGAAGAGTCGATGGGCAGAAATTAAAATACTTAAAATACACCCCCCAAAAAAACAAACAAACAAAAAACCCAAAAAAAACCCCACTTATTGACTGGGAGGGTGATCAAATACTGAAACAGGTCAGGCAAAGAGGTTCCCAGAGGAAGTATTTCCTCAAGTGAACTTGGTTAATAATTCTACTGGAGTTGTATGCCTCAGAGCAACAACCTCACCCTTTCTGAAAGAACATTGTTTACTGCCCTCTAAACTAAAACGACAATCAGCTGCTCTGACTCAATCATCACAGGAACAAATCTGCTGATCAATTAAGTACATAGTGAAATCCCAACTCCACTGAAGTCATTGGGAGGTCTGCATTAACTTTGAGAGGAGTCAAGATTTCTGCATTTCTCTCTCTAATGAACACTCCAATTAAACTATTAAAAAATGTATTTTAATTATAAAAGACTAGAAACAGGTTAGTTACACATTCTATTTTCATATATGTAAATATGCTATTGCAATAATTTGGGTAAGAGTGCTTTAAATTCCACTATTGTGAATATTTAGAAATAGGTTCAATGATTAATTATTTTCAAGTTTATCTTAGAATGTATTGCAAATACCTTCAAATGGTCTTATTCTACTCACTTAAAACTAAGCTTTATGAAAATTACACTTGTAATTCAGCATTTCTGCAGAATAAATAATACATTTGTACTGCATTAACACAAATGGTTCTAAAATTTCTTGGGTGAATACCATGTTTTAAAAAGTTAGCTGTCAAGTTCCAAGTATAATCCCTCAAGTATAAATATTCCAAAGAATCAAAGGAGGACTTTTACAGGGTTTAGCTCAAAATGCCTAAATGCAAAGAGTTTTAAGGAAAGTTATATACTTAGAAATAGAAATGCCTTAATAGGTCATTATCAGTAAGTTCCAGAACAGTATGTCATTACCTGTGTTGCAAGCTTGTCCTGTAGACGCTCTAAAGCTGAAAGCTGACACTGTGCTCTTTTGACAAACTCTTTTGGGAAAAGACTACCAGAGGCAACATAAACTGTGTAGCACTTAGAGCCATCAGGAAGATGAAATCCTATAAAGTGTAAAAAAATATTGAGGAAAACATTATCTTTGTTGTTATTCCATCATCAATATTGCATTCTCTGCAAGTGTTATAGCAGGCATAAAAGAATCACAAAACACAGTAGCTTCTTATTGTAGACTAGCTCAGTGATAAGTGAGAACAGTCCTAGAAACACCTCTTCCTGCTTTTTTCCATTGTTTCACTGCCGGAGTGATTGTTGAATAGAATTTAAATATCTACAGTGAAATTTACTTACATTATACCTACTTTTAATACAAGCTTACTCCATAAGAAAACTATTTGTCTTCCTTTTCCATTTGAACAAGAAATTACTTTTCATTCTGATAGATAAACTACTACTTTTCTGCCCTTAAACAATGATAGTCTTAACTCAACTTCTTGTTCTCACACTGAATCTAAGCACCAGGGAAACCTTCCTCAGAATGTTCATCCTCCCCAAATTACTGCTTACAGACTGACCTTGTTCTATTTAAGCACATTCTATCACAGAATAATTTAACTTGTAACATTTAGTACTGCAGTCTCACAGAAACTGTCCAGCTCAAGGATCTGACAGATCCAGCATGTTTCTTTTACTCTCCAGCTCAAAAGATGAAATGATTTCCAGGTTTTAGCTTTATTCTAAATATGTAAGCAATCATTCTTCTGTAGAATAAGTTTACCTTCCTTTGATACCATTCCAAGTTCTGTTCTGAGCTTGTTTCCCATCTCAATTAGCTGCTGTTTCTCTTGGCTCAAAATTAAGATTTTTCTCATCGCTTCCTTCAGTTTATTCTGCATTCCTAGTAAACTGCAACCCATACCATATGGAAGACTATCACTCAGCCCTACATCAGACAACTTTTGCAAATGGTCTACCATCCTTTCTTTAAGAACTTTGGGTTTTCGTTCCTGGAAAAAAACAACAACAACAACAACAAATAGCATTTATAATGAATATTTTGGCAGCATGGTCTGGAGGGTTTAGTGCACTAAAAGACAGTTGAGAAAAAGTGTAAAGTTATTCTGAAGTCCATTAGCAGTACAGAACAAATTAAATCATGTACCAAACTATTATCATGACCTTGGAAGTTTCCACAAGTATGCTCCACCTTGTTAACTATAAATGTAAAATAATACATGTAAGATAAAAAATGTAGAACTGTTCATTAGAGAACAAATGATTTTAAGACAAACTGTGGAAACAAAAAGACTTCAGAGCAAATAGCAGATTACCACAAATTCTTCTTTGTGTAATGTATATGCACACATGTGGAACACTAGGAGGTACAGTGACACTGAAAGAAAGAGAGGCTGAAAAAATAAGATTGTAGAGTTGGTTTTATCTCTGCAAAATGAATTGAGCTAACTTGTGCCCTCGTGGCCAAGAAGGCCAATGGGATCCTGGCCTGTATCAGGAGGAGTGTTGCCAGCAGGTCAAGGGAGGTGATTCTGCCCCTCTACCCAGGTCTGGTGAGGCCGCACCTGGAATACTGTGTGCAGTTCTGGGCTCCCCAGCATAAGAGGGACGTGGAGCTTCTCGAGAGGGTCCAGAGAAGAACAACTAAGATGATTAAGGGAATGGAACATCTCTCGTATGAGGAGAGTCAGAGTGAGCTGGGCCTGTTTTCTCTGGAGAAGAGAAGACTGAGAGGGGATATGATTAACATGTATAAGTTCAGGAAAGGAGAATGCAGGGAGGAAGGGGACAAGCTGTTTTCATTGGTGGCCAGCCATAGGACAAGGGGTAATGGGCATAAGCTGAAACACAGGAAGCTCCGTCTCCAGGTGAGGAGGAACTTCTTTACTGTGAGGGTGACAGAGCAGTGGAACAGGCTGCCCAGGGAGGTTGTGGAGTCTCCTTCTCTGGAGGTCTTCAAAACCTGCCTGGATGCCACCTTGTGCCACATGCTCTACATGTGCCAGCTTGAGCAGGAAGGTTGGACTAGATGACCTCTAGAGGTTCCTTCCAACCTTGAATATTCTGTGATTCTGTCTGCAGAGGAAGGAGACAGAAGTGAGGAATGGGGCTCCAGTGGCTGCTGGGACCGGCAAAACAGAGCTCAGAAGAGAGCTTTTCTTCTTTACAGAGAGAAAAAAATAAATAAACACAGTGCCATCCAGAGTTGAGAGAACAGTTTACACGTTTCCAAAACTGAAGCGAGTATGTGCACACGTGTGTATATATGAGAGAGGGAGAGAGAGAGACGAAAAGAGAGAAATCAATCATGAAGGAATCATGCCAGGGAATGACTAGCTCAAATTTATTACTCAGACAGAAGGAACATAATTTTGTCTGGAGAAAAATAAATAAATAAAAATCATGGGCTCTCATCTGACTTATACTCCTTACTAGTTCACCATATAGAAGCATATGGCTCTGTTTTTAAATATGTAAACAAAAGCAATATGATATTTATATAATCACATACATCTTAGGAGTTTAAACATCTTCATACCTTTTCTTTGTGTGGCTTTACTACTAAATCCAAGTTAGCAGAACTCATTTCGATATTGTTTAAAGTGGTTCCAGTGGAAACTTTGTCTGTGTATGATGAACCTAAAAGAAAACAGCAATAAGACTGCACACATATATGTGTGTATACATATATATAGTCTATCCTTTCATAGCAACAACTATATCAGAACATAGTCTCATTAATACATTACAATATAAATACATTACAATATATTACAATATAAAACATTACAATACATTAATAATTATTTTAATAGACACACTTTTAAACAAAGCAGAAAAAATATGAAAGCAGTACAATTTCACAATATGCAAACATTGTCTAGCTACAAAATGAAGAACTGAACAGGTAAGACGTTTAAAAAGTTCAGCTCAAACAGCATACTGAAAAATGGCTTGCTTTCTTTCAATCTTGTATTATTTAATCATTCTCAGGAAACTGGTCATGCTCAGTAGAAAAATAATAGTTGAGTAGCTTTTCAAATACAGTTGGAGAAAAAAGATTAAGGCACATGAACAAACAAAAAACAAAGAAAACCCCCAAGCCCCATATATCAATAAATTGAAGTCAATACTGTATAAAAATAAAAACTAAAAAACATAATAAAACATTTATGTAAGAACACCTTCATCCCATTCCAGCTCACGACCAGAGGAGACTTCTGAGATTTCTGTAGTTATGCCAGTGTTAGTTTGCTCTGCAAGCTGTCTGTTTTCTGTCTGAGGACAAGAGGGCAGCATCTGCTCATTAAGACTCTCCATTTCTTTCCTCATTTGTGCAATAATAGCCCGAAGGTTGTCATTGTCATCCTGAAGTTTTTGTATTTCCGAGGTAGGAAAATCTTTTTTAGGAGAACTTTTATCATCACATTGAAATATCTACAAAACAAAATTACAATACAATAAGAATAGCTTTTATTAATGAGCAACACAAATAGTCTTTCCACAACATTCCACACAGAGATCTTAAAATTCCAAATCCATAAACAACTTGGTGGAAAAGAACCGCCGAAAGTGAGATAAAAATCTGGCTATTATGAGGATCTGCCTGAGAAAGAAAGTGATGTGCTGAGAGTCCAAGATGGGGAAGGGCATAAAAGTGGGGAAGAGATACAGAGGGCTGTATTTCATTTCTCGCTCTTTTGAGTATTCTCGGTCTCACCTTCTCCTACCCCATCTCTTGAAAGAACTCATTTTCTCACAGCATTCCCCTTTCTGACCTGGTAAATTCTTACATCATTTCATTGGAGGACAATTGTTTAAGACTATAAAGAGGTTGGACCTCCATTGATACACAGGGGAAAAAGAAAAAAAAAAAAAAAAAGAATGGTATGGAACATACCTAGAAAATATCTAGGACATCTCTCAGCACTTGCATATAAAATAAGTAGCAACATCTTTCTTTAAAAGTATTTGCTTATACATATTACTCAAGATAATCTAACTGTATATAAAATAAAAGGAACTCTGTCAGATTCGAACTGAAGCACTGCCTTCAAAACGATACAAATTGTAAGAGTAGCCTAATTTTTGGAATTATATTTGATAAAAGTATGAACTAATGATCAACTGCCAGTCTTACAGATTTCCAAATTGAAAAGTGCCAAAGCTGCTTCAACTACTACAGAAAGGCAGAATAAAGTATTCATAAAGCATGAGTAACTTATTGGTTATTCCAGAACTGTTCTCATTCAACAATTTTTGAAGAGGATTTGCTTGATGTTTTCTATATAGACTGCAAACAGCTTTGCAAATTGTCTTTGATATTTAGTTTGGAAAGCTGCATGCAAATAAGATGATGCTCCAATCAGAACAAGAATGTGAAATGCTCTAGGCCATAAACTTTGATAATTGCTTTACCAAAGGCTTCCTACTCCAGCATCCAAATTCTGATGGCAGTCAGCAACACATGTTTAAGGAAAACATAATAGGACATAAAAGGATAAATAGAGAATTACTAACACCTAGGAAGTGGTAAACATATTTCTTGATCATTTTGTTGTATCTCAATTCACATGGTTTCATCAAAACAGAGAGTTCAAGGCTTAGTTCCGTTCCATAAAATCCTCTCTGATCGATGGAAACACTTGTTAGCTGCACAGGATCACAGAATCACAGAATATTTAAGGTTGGAAGGGACCTTAAATCTAGTCCAAGGTTGGACTAGAGATCATCTAGTCCAACCTTTACTAACCAGGATACCCAGATATCATTTGGAAAAGAAATATTAGAAACTCCTGGAATGGTGGAATATAAACTAATATAGTTACTAAACGAATCTTGATTTACAGATAGCCCAGATGAGATTTTTTCAGAAGGAAAAAACAGTCTAATATGTTTGGAATATTTGTACTGAATGCTGCTAGTAATGCTGCTCAGCCCAAAAGTTCCAAATGTTTGTTGCAAGGCAGAAGTCCTGATAATTGACAAGGAGAAGCAATTTGTTAGCCCATGTAGAAAGGACTGGTCAGCAAAATATTTAAATCATAACCTCCATGCCCTGTACAGCCTTAAGCACTCCTCCTTCTTTACTCTCCATCATTCCCCACTTTTTGCCCCCTTAGTCTCCATCATTCCCCCCTCAGTTCCCAGTCACAAGGATATTCTGGGAGTATGATCTGAACGATGGAAGTCTAATAGCATTCAAATTAAGTTTTCTTTCACAAAAGCAACGCCTGTGTTACAGTCCATCTCTCTATTGTGTTTTTTTCCTCCTAGCAGGAAGAATCCTGTACTGTACACGGTTAACCTGGAAAATATGAATAACTCTTATTTTGCTTTTACAATTCTTCCAAGATGAAGTAAGTAAGTAATAAGTAGATAGATAAATAGTAGATAGATAGATAAGTAGGCACTAGTACTTCACCAGGTATTTTCTGAATTTTGGGTCCCAGAACTCCATACCAATCTGCAACATAGATATGAGCCAATGAAGCTTGAACCACAAATACAATTGCTCCGGGTCTTCTCCAGAAGAAAAGTATCTAGTTAGAAGATCAGAAAATTGCACAGCAAAGCTGTACACAATCTATCGTCATCTATGCATTTGCATGGTATTAGTATGCCCCAGGCAGGCAGCAATGGCCCAAGTCATTGTCAGAATCAGTTTCAAGGAAGAAGTTCCAGGTTGTTGTTTTTCACATATCTGTTGCTTAGTTAAAGTCTTCAGGACGTGACTTGTGTAGTATTTCTAGCACTCTCACAGGATCCCAAACAAATCTGAAGAAAGGACTGTATGGTAGGTATACTCTAGCGGTGTGCATCTATAACTTATCTTGCAACAGTGGTCTGAACCAGAGGAAAGCAAACACACTATTGTTTGGAAAGAAGTTGGAACAATATTTTATTATAAACAATATTTTATTATAAACAATATTTTATTATAAACAATATTGCCAACTTCTTTCTTTGGAAGAAACTTCTATATTTCCAACTTCTTTCTTTGGAAAGAAGTTGGAACTGTCAATTTTAACCACAATTCTTCCCCTTCAATTATATTTCACCTTTAGAGAAAAAATAAGAGATTCCAGTTTAGAATCTCAAACACTTTTTGGTGTTTGTTTAAAGACAAAAACTATTCCCTTCATATAAATCAGAAGTGAAAATGTTATTGATGAGATGGGTACTATGTGTCCTACAGATCAGAAAAATGAGACAAAGTATATTAACAACAAAAAGAAAAAAGTGACCACAAAAACTGTGTTTTCAACAGCAGGAGACAGGTTACAGTGAAAGAAGAATCCTTCCTCAAACATTATTCTGTTTGTATTTGAAATGTACAGCTTTTGCATCAAGTCCAGTTTCAGATGAAATTAGACCAATCTACTTTATAAGTTTTTCCTACCGGTCTATTTTGACTCTCAATTTAAATGTAAATGTTATCTTCGGGAAGTCGTCTTCAGGAAGTTGTCTTCAAACTATTTTCTGTATTTAGAAAACACTTTAGCCTTGGTTAACACTGCTTTTTCACATCAGCAAAGTCTTCTTACTCATTTGCTCTTGAGCACCTGCAACTGCCCTGCAGGGTGCACTGCACCCATTCTTTACATAAGCCTTTTCTTAATACTTATCTGCCAAAAGACTGATATGACCACCAAAATGAGAAAGAAATCTCTTCCAGAATGACTAAGTAGATATGCTGAATTATGCGTTTTTAAAGTATTTAACTAAAATTTTAACATTAAAAACTTCAAAATTGACTCTAAATTTCAACTAACAGTCTCAGGAACACCTCAGAAAATAATTCTACCTATTCTGAAGTGCCACAATACTACAGCACATTGTGCTTTTTTGGAAGTATAATGGTTACATCTGCTTTGCTCCTTTTATCAACAAGTAGAGGGTCAGACTCATAATGAATTCCAGAACTTCTAATTAATATGCATTCCAGGCTATGTATGTCTATATTTTGAATTAAACTTGGGGTCTCAAATGAACTGCTTACAACAAGTCCAATGGAAAAAATTCAGTAAGGTTGTAATCTCACTGTGAATCTATCCAGATCAAGACAGTAATTGTTTTCTAACCCATTTCTTCCCCTCAGGTAAAGAACTGTTCTTCCAAAATGCTTGGATTTTTTGTTCTTGCTCAAGAAAGCAAACACACACACACACACACAAAAAAAAAAAAAAAAAAAAAAAAAAAAAAACACTAGAACCATATAAAGTTTTAAGTCCATTATTAGAGCAGCAGCTTTGAAATAAATGAAATAGAAAACTTCAAGGACCTAAACAATTTTTCTATTTATACAGGGAAAAAACATGGTCACTAAGAACAAAGTTAAGATGCACATTGCAAGTACCTCTGCTCTGCTTCCTCTTGGCCTGGAAAGTAGTAGTTTAATACACATGTGGAAGGGGGAAACATAAAGTTAGCACCATCATAATTTCATGTGTTTCATGCAGGAGTAACTCGAGACTATAATAAACTAATTTACTCTGTGAGTAAAGCATAGCAGTTTAAAATAACTTACTTTAGCTTCATGGGACAGAACTAAGTTACTCATCTTGTTCGTCTGCTGTCGAAACTCACATTCTTGTCTTTTCATTTCTGCATCAAATTCAGATTGCAGTTCCTACAACAATGGGAATAGTAGATAGGTAAAGCTAATAGAAACGTACTGATGGAGAAACACTATACTTTTTAAAAATCATTACACCATATTTCTCTGCTCTACTGAGGAACAGAACACTCTGAATGAAACCGACCATCTGGTCTACACTAGCTCCCCCAATAAGACTTGCACATCTTAGGCAGAGTTTATAGAAATACAACAGCAAAAAGACATCCTGTATAAAATGACCTCCCATTCCATAACAATATGAAAAAATATATAGAGACTCCTATAGAGTTTTATTTCTAGATATCTTAGTATTTGCAGTACAAAGGCTATCTAGTATGGAAATATCCACATTTTCTTTTAATTCTCAGATGAGCAGGGAAGAGAAGGTTTTTTGTTTGGTTGGTTTGTTTTGTTTTTGTTTTCTTGATTGTTTTTAACTAGGCATATTATTCAGAAATGAGTCATATTATCTGCAGATAGCAAATTGGTTTGGACTAGCTCATACTGCACAAAGAGAATTTACTTCAGATTTGCTTCGGCCCTGTTTGACACAATTTTAAGATTAAGATTTTAAATATAAAATAAGTCTAAACAGAAAAGTCCATTGACAAGAGTACTAAATGCCATAAGCACATAAATAGAGGAAACCTTTTTTTTTTTTTTTTTTTTTTTTTTTTTTAAATGGACAATCTATTACCAGCAGTTAGGACATCAATTTTCTTATAAGCAAACTTAGATGTCTGCATGAGAGTATGTGTACATATATATACACACATAGGAAAAGAATGATGATAAACATTTCACTTCTGCAGGATGATGACAAAAAACAGTACTAAAACATACGTAAAAAATGGCCACTGACAAACTACACAAGAAACATGGTAAAAGTACATTATAGAAATTTATAAACCCATGTCTAAGCTTTTTGTTCAAGTCAAGCAAGACAATGCACTGATTTTAGTTGGGAAAATCTTGGTTGCAGTCAAGATGCTCTCAAAGGGAATAAATATTGACCTACTAAAAAGCTAAATAAAAAAAAATTAAAGCCTCACTGAAGAGTAAAACATACCACAGTATTTTCATACTGGAGATAGCAAACTGACATGAGGTTTGCTGGGAGAGAGAAAGCTATGGGAAAAGCTTCTTACTGTTGAACTGTTGTAAAGAAAGAACTGTTGTTCTTACTTTACAGCTGTTGAAATAGTGAAACATTTAAAAAAAGTATCTGTAAGATACTACTTCCAGGATTGCTATCTATGATTCATGATAGAGACTCAACAGCAAGAGAACAAGAGATGAACACAGGAATGCAATATAGCATGTTAGATATAAAAGGAACTAAAAAAAAAAAAAAAAAAAAAAA